TTTTTGTAATTATATTTTAAGTAATTAATTTATAATAATTTAACAATATTAATATAATGTTAATATTAAAAAATATATTTCATATCAGTATTATATTTAAAAATAATATTGTGTTATAGTTTTAAAATTATAAAAAAAATGGTGTAAAATTTTGTTTTATAAAAAAGTTTAGAGGAGAACTTATTGTATTTATATTTTGTATAATCAATTTATAATAAATTATTTTACATTAGAATTATTTTGAAAAATTATATTCTAAAATATTCTTATAATTGTATTAAAATGGGGTACAATTTTAGGTTATAGAATAAAAATAGAAGCATTTGTCTTGTGTTTATTTATTTTTTGAGTAAGTAATTTATAATAAACCAATTTTATAATATTTAATATTTGAATTATATTGAAAAATAGCATTATATAATTATCTTATAATTGTATAAAAATTATCCTTATAATGAATAATGCAAAACTATAGAAGATGTTTATTTACAATTGTTTAAATGGGTAATCACTTTAATGTAATGTATATAATTTGGAATTTTTATTTATGATTCACATATTTATTGTGTATTATTAAAATATTATTAAATTTTAAGGCATTACCTAAGTATCGAAGGAGAGCAAAGTTGGATGTATCGTCGTTATGATGAGATGGGATATTGGAACAATCAGTTTGATGTTGGAGTGGAGATTTTCTTAGATTTTGTATTTTCATAGACAGACTCAATGCTTTGTGCAAAAAATATGATTCGTTGCCTATGTACTAAGTCTTGGAATAGAGAATGGCACTATCGACCTAAAGTGAGGGTTTATTTTATTAAGAATGGCTTCATGGATGGGTACCTTATTTGAAATAGATACGGAGAAATTATATGTAGAAAATAGCATTACTCCTAAGTAGGTGAGTCATCAAGTGCCAGTGCCACCATGAATAATATTCCAAATGTTAATTAGCTTAGAGACATGCTTCAAGATGCCATGGGGCTTGATTTTTTTAATAATGAAAATAGTGTTATAGTTGTGGAAGATGCAATGCAATTGGATTATGGTTTTGAGGATGTATTTGGTGCTAGTGAGTCAATAGTTCAGGAGCCAAGAAAAGATGAGAAAGAATTTTTTAATCTCTTACAAATAGTTGAGAAAAAAAATTGATTGAGAGAAATTGCCGAAAGATTGTTATGGTGCCAAGAAGATGTTGAGATGCCTTGGTCTTGGGTATAAGAAGTATGATATTTGTATAAACAATTGTTTTTTGTATTATGAAGTATTCAAAAGCCAATGCTATTTAGAGGGCCCGATATGTGGAGAGTCACAATTTAAGCTGAGTGATGTTCATTCTGTTAAGCCCATAGCAAGAAAATCTTTGTGGTAATTCCCGATTAATGCTAAATTGCAGAGATTATGCATGTCTAGGAAAACTTTTGAGCATATGATCTGGCATTTAAATTGTTGTAATGAAAATGAAAAAATTGTTTATCCTGCATGTTGTAAAGATGCATGGAAGCACTTTGATTGGATCCATCCTAAGTTTGCCAATGAATCGAGGAATGTTAAGCTAGGCCTATGCATTAATGGATTTACTCTTTTTGGACAATCTGCATCTCCATTCTCTTGTTGGCCAGTCTTTATATCAGTTTACAATTTGCCTCTAGCAATGTGCATGAAGGAAAAGTAGGTATTCCCTTCATTAATTATCCAACATCCCTAAAGTCCTGGAAAGAACATGGATGTAATGTTGCATCCACTAATTGATGATCTTGAACAACTTTGATACTTTGGGATGCAAACTTATGATTGCTTTAGACGTCAATACTTCCTAATGAGGGCTGCAATTATGTGGACTCTTAGTGACTTTGCAATGTTGTCTAGATGGAGTACACATGGTAGATTAGCTTGTTCATATTGCGTGGAAAATTCAAAAGCCTTTTGGTTATAACATGGTTGGAAGACATCATTTTTTTTATTGTCACCAATAATTTTTGCCACAAGATCATCCATTTTGAAGAAATAAAAATGATTTCACAAAGGGGCATGTAGAGAATTCAACCATGCCAAAGAGATTATTTAGTGATAAGATGCGCAGTTGCATCTAATGGCTACCTGATAGACTATTTGACAAGCTACATCAAAAACAAGTAATTTAAGGATTTGGTGAGATGCATAATTGGGTTAAAAAGAGCATCTTTTGGGAATTACCATATTGACATATGAACTTGATTTGAGACAATTTAAATGTCATGCACTCTAAGAAAAACTTTTTTTGATAATATCCTACATACAATAATGGATGATCCATGACAAAGGACAACATAAATGCGAGACTTGATCTAGAACAATATTGTAAAAGAAAAAGTCTCCACATACCCAAAATAGGATCGAATTCGAGTAAAAAACCTAAAGCCACTTATGTTCTATGTAGAGATCAAAGAAAATTAATATGTCAGTGGTTAAAAGAACTTAGATTCTCTGATGGGTTTGCATCCAATATATCTTGGTGTGTGAATATGCAAGAGGGATGGTTGTTCGGTATGAAAAGTCATAATTGTCACATTTTCATGCAAAGCCTCT